TGAAGGGAAAAAATGAAATTTTCGGTTGGAGATAGTCTTATGTGATAGTTTAACTTCGCTTAAACTTTGGGATAAAATCCACTTATAGGGGCCTACGTGTTTATATAAATAAGAGATTACAAGTCATTAATGAATCAACAACCCTCTAAAAATACATCATTTAAAATAAAGCTTGAGAGCTCCAACCAAAACAACAACCCAAACAAGATACACCAGCTGGTCATTAACAATTCCACCAAGTATCACAACACGAGCATCAAAGAAATCTGAAAAAAAGAAAAACTAAATCAAACAAAGCCAAAGAAGCAACCCACAGTAGGATAGAGACCAAAAAGCCACATGACCCAGAGAACAATAACACAAGTAGAAAGACCGCATAACCAACAAAAACCAAAATGAGCACCGAGAAAAAAGAGTTCTAAGAGGAGAACAACACAATCCAGAAGGCCCCTAACCCAACACCCCACCCTTTCGAAACCCAAATACCAATCGAACAACAACCAACCCCACCGCCTTGCCTCCAACACAAGGACCCCCAACCGAGCAAGCCAAACCCAACAAGCTTACCCAAACCAAAAACACACACAAAGTCCTACAACCAAAAGATCAACAACCAAAAGAAAATGAACCAATTAAGAAGCGGGCCATCAGTAGAAAATAGGGACAAGAACTATTTCCTTTTAGGTTTCCTCTTATTACGTTTGCCACCACCATGGGCAAAAGCTTTTTCAATGATGCGACTCACATTCAAATTATACATTGCATTAAATTCATCCTCATGCCCTTCCAAATATTCCCCATCACCCCTGCAAGGTGAAGAAAAAGACTCATCAAGCCAATCAGTTTGATAAACACAAATACCCTTCATATTTACCGCCAATTGAACTTTCAAAGCATCATTAGAAATGAGCAAAATCGGTAGCACATTTGATAAGACCGATTCCAAAGAAGCCAAGAGTGATTCATCAAAAGCAACAACCATTCCACTAGAATCCACTACAACCCCACTTGCAACAGGCATTGCAAAAATTGCAACACCCATAGGGCTAAAAGCTTCACAACCCCTAGGTTCCAAAGAAACAAAATTAAAACCAACATCCACTACAACATCAACACCATCACCAATATTAGAACTAGGGGACACAATAGGACTAGCTATAAGGTTAATCATACAATTATTGGCACTCGTAGCCTCATTAATACCTTCTACGTTATCATAATAAATAGTCATAAGCAAAACAACAGTCGATGGAGCAACTTCCTTCTCAGCATGCCCAACAACATCCCTAGTAGTATCAACAACAGGATCAATATCTACAAACAAAACATTTTCCATATAATTATCCCCATTAACTACCAACTCAGTATCAGCGTGATAGGATTATCAAAATTTTCCATAACAAGAGGGATATGATTATCCAAATTTTACACAACAACAGTAACATTTCCACCAAAGCTAATAGGATTATTAACATTAGCTGTAATAATAACCGGGACAGATGATGAATGAGGCCGACAATCACCCTCTAAATGCCCCATACATTTACATTGAACACAAAAGGGAGGAAAAACCTCCATCTCAACATGTTGAACATACCAAAAATTTCAGGACCTAGCCACACTATATCAGAATAATTTATATTAAGCTCAATCAAAACATACACAACAAAAGGATAGGAGACAACAGAGGTAGCATTATCGATTTTTAGAGGACGACCAAACAACGATCCCAGACCATGAATGATATGGGGTGAGAATAGGTGTGGCCGCAAGTTAGGAAAGATACCAAATAGGATGATAGGAGAGTCCACACCAATATCAAATAGAGGAGACCATTTGGTCAATTTCATGTAAGAGTTGTAACAAAATAGGATTTTTGAGAGAAAACTCTGTTGTGATCTAGGTTATTAACCAACTTAATCAAACATGTGAATGATTCAACAGAGTAATCAAAAAATCACCATTGAGCTTGAGATTGAAGAAAAAATTTCAAATAGAGTCAAGACTAGGACGTCGAAGCAGGAAATTTATCAACCAACGCGTTTTGAAGGAGAGCCGCAAGCGCAAGGATCTCCTCCTTCGAGATCCACATATAAGGCAAACCACGGAAAGTAGTCGATTTCAGTGTAGGAAAACACACATCATAGGAGATATCAGAGAGGTCATCAAGAAAAAATGCAATTTGGGAGATCCATTAAAAAAACTAGGATTACTAGACAGTTCACCGCCATTCTGGATGCAAAGGGTCAGAGGTGGATGAGCAAGGAAGGCAAGTTGAGAAACCACAAAAAGGCTAACAAGATAGAGAAGAAGTATAAAAAACTTCCTTGAGAACGCACAAGCAACGACAAAGGCAGCCAGAGCCGTCAGGAGAGAGCTAGGGGAAACCCTCGCAGAGCAAACAAAATGATTATCTGAAATGATCGTGGATTGTATGTGTGATTGTTTAATGAGTTTAAATTTAGGTTTTATTTGAGATAATATTTTTATTGCTTTTTAAAACAATTTTTTAGTATTCTTTTTTTAAATAGCAAAAAAATGCCAAAAACTATCTCAAATGAAGGCTTTGTTTGTGACATCTTACTTACTATTTTCTAAAGCAGTTTTTTAATAGAAAATTTCTAGTTCAAGAAATTTTGGTACAAAAAAAAGTTGCTTTAAAAATTAGTAAAGAAGCTATCCCAAATGAAGCCGAATCCTATGGCTTTCTTATTGCTTTAAGAAACAATTATTTTTGTACAAAAATTTTTTGAACTAGAATTTTTTGTACTAGAAAACTATTTTTGAAAGCTTTAATACTGCTGTTCCAAACTAAGCCTAAATTAACTTTGGCAAACACACTTGTGATATATATATTGGGAAGCATGTTTATGATAATTAGAATTTATCAATAAATGAATAGCAGCTTTTGAATGAATAACACAATTTGTGCATCATGTGGAAGATATTCATGGCCTAATTGTTGATTACCTACAATATTACACTACATGGAAACAATGAGTACATGGAAATCAAATAATTATTCAGGACCCCTTAAAGCCATAATTATTTTCATTTTATTGCCAACCAAAAAGAAAAAAAAAAAAGGTTAAGGAATCAAATTGCAATTATTTAATTTTTATTGCATTTTGAAATATATATTAATTCTAAATAGTTTCAATCAAACTACAACTTAGTAAAATATATAAACTCAGAATACTTGAAATCAAATAACCCTTATTTTTTTTTTTCCCATTAATTTTCATATGCTTTAAGCTTACTACTATTATAAAGTGGCTACAATACCTCAAGCCTTAAAAAATGTATATATATGCTTTGTTCTTGTCATTATTTTTTTTTTTTTGAGAAAACAATATGTAAGCTCCTATTAGCAATATTGTTTTTATCTACTTTGTTCATTATCAAAGTTGTGAGGGCAAGTATTTGATTTCCCATTAAGCTCATGCATGAATCTTTTATGTCTTTCCCTTCTAGGATAATTGACAGTAAAAAAAAGATGGAGATTCATTTCATTTGCATGTATCGCTGGCATGTTTTTAGTGTAGTTCTTGGTGAATGTATAGATTGAATTAGAGGTGCAAACGAGTTGAGTCGAGCTTGAGTTAAGCCTAATTCAAGTCAACTCGCGAGCTATATATAGAGCTCGAACTTAGCTTTTGCATAAGATTAAGTGGCATTCTCTATGCACTGGATCTTTCTCTGAGCCAATAATGCAAATATTGGCATTCTCTATGCACTGGATCTTTCTATGAACATTGTGACTCAATACATTGTGACTTAATCTTAGCTTTTGCATAAGATTAAGGCTTCGTTTGGGACGGCTTTTTTAATGCTTTTTAAAACGGAGTTTTAGTACAAAAATAAAAAAAATTTGTACTAAAACTTCATTTTAAAAAGCAATAAAAAAGCCGTCCCAAACGAAGCCTAAGTCTAAATGTTAATTGGGAGATTTACATACATACCACCCTATAATACTCTATTTACATATTTAACACCCAAAACTTTAATATTACATACATACCATTCTTAGTTCATTTTCATATCAAATATGAGTGGTAAAAATGAAATATATGAATGGTTGGAAGGAAATATGAGTGGCATATTTGATATTAAAATAAAATAGTGGTATGTATGTAATATTAAAGTTTTAGGTGTTAGATATATAAATATGATGGCATAAAGTGGTATGTATGTAAATTTCCCATGTTAATTTTTCATGCAGTTTTTTCCAAGCTAGTTAGTAAATGTAATAGATTTTCAAACAAAATTTTATTTAAGATATAATAAAGTTCTTTAATGAACCCCTTCATCAATAGAAGATAGCATTGTCTCTTGGTGTATATAGGTTAAGAAAATAGTCGTCAAATGGAATTATTATTTGATAACTCGATGAAAATAATATTTTCATCAATGAAACTTTGCATGAACTCTTCTAAAAAATTAATATTTGAGGTGAACTTAAAATTATTATTACTATTATTAATAAATTTAAACTCAAAAAGTACAAATCAACTTCCAAAATATTAAGCAGCTCATTTTAATCTGTTTGTTATTGCTTTCTAAAAGTTTTTTAGTTAGTTTTTTTTAAATTATATAAAACTTACTTTAAAAAGTGATAAAAAAATAAATTTTTATAGATTTTGAGTTTCAAACTTTCCTTAGGTCATCTCCAACCGAACTCCAAACGCTTGAATGATGTTGCTGCAGAGCTCCAACGGAACGGTAAAACTTCCGCTATTTGCTGACGGGTGAACAGCGGGATGTCAATATTGACGTTGCATTGTTCATCTCTGCTATTTTTTTGTCTCTACCTAACTTGCCGAAGAAATGCATGAAAAATAGAAATAATGATGAACCATGACATTTTTTTTTAGTTTCACAGCATTTTGAAGGAAAAAAAATGAAATTTTCGATTGGAGATAGTCTTATGTGATAGTTTAATGAGTTTAACTTCGCTTAAACGTCCAAATAAAAAAAAAAATCCAAATATTTACCGCCACGATTTCTGGTGTTACGGTGATCATCTGCGCAATGCGAAATACCTAAAACCCTGTACCGTTCTATGGAGGTAAAAATGGAGAGTGAAACGCTCTCCGACGAGTTCACCTCCTTCTTGGACTCCGGAATCTATCGCCTTCCGGGGATCAAAGCTGTCTTTCTAGATCCAGTTCGTCTTCTCAACCTTTCCTATACCCGTTATTCGATTTCTGCTTCCGGTTACTATTGCCGCACCTTCGATTCCTTGGGGAAAGGGAGAAGAACAAACATAGAAGCGGGCGATTCATATGTGCCCAAGAAGAAGAAGCGGAAGCGGAAGCGGAGGCTTCCCGAGGACCTCAATGGGCAAGAATTAGTCGCCGAGAAACGCCATCAGGTGAGCCATCTCTGTTTTAGTTCTACTTTCTCTTATTTTTACCGCTTGGATGGTGTCAAACTATGATTTTGGTCCGGATTTTTTTGCCAGGATGTACGGCCTTTTTTGCTCAAGGCTCACGAGGCATTACTTGGTACAACTGAGCTTCTTTTATTCCTTCCCAATCTAGTTAAAGACGAGAAGTTCAGTATTGATGGAAGAGGGCTGGAGCAGAGCTTTATTGAACTGGGAAGAGTATGGCAGGCACCACTTTACGAGATATCTATGAACATCGAAGGGAACAGCAAGGAAGTGCAAGAGGAAGGTTAGGCATCTTTTATAATTAGGCAAATACTTCTTCAAACAGTAGGCTTTTGATCTTAAAGTAGAAGACACCTTTTCTAGAACTGTCTCTAGGAGAAATTATTACTTGCATAGTCAAAGCGCACCTGCTGCAGTAACCGTCTGGTTTTCTCTGTGCGCAACTGCCATGATTTTTTACTGCGCTTTTACTGTAGACAGGGAGAAAACTGGACGGTTCTCTCCCTCCTTTGTCCACACAGAATAATACGTCAACTGGCACTCATATTGGAGAGATTATTAGGTGCGGAGTGCGGACGGGGAGAACCGTCCGCACAAGCATTGGGTACCGAGCAGTACCCGCACTCGGTACCGCTGGGTACCAGGTACCCAGTGCTTGTGCGAACGGTGCACACTCTGCACCTAATAATTTTTCCTCATATTGACATGAATGTTGTTTAGATTTTTTGGAATGGTTTATTTGGCGTCGGATAGGTACTAATATTTGCATTTCTGGCATAAAAAACTGAAATTTTAGATGCTATGTACTTGCATGCTAGTGCAAGTTTACAGGAAGAAAACATTGATCTAAGTTTACTCAAAGTGCTTCTGCGATGAATCATGACCTATTGTACTGAATTTGATGGTAATTTAGATTTAATTTAATAATTTTTTGGACCAAATCAATGTGTGGTACCATGATTCATGAATTCATACCAATCCTATTCAACTTATATTTTTATGCTGCTATTTTAAAGGATACAATACAAAAGATGGCATTTTCTGCAGTTCTAAAAAAATGAAATCGAACTTATCTGGAACAAAAAAATGCCATTTCTACCTTTTCCAAAGTTTTAGCACTGTTGCCAATCAATAATTGGTAATGATGGATTTGTTCTGAAGTATAGATAGGGAGGTGACCGTTTCCATCAACCCTAGATTCAGATCCTTTTAAAAAGGTTTCTAGGATTCATATGTAAAGTTGAGGTTGTAGACCTCTAACATGGTCAAATCATGAATGAAGCTTGGAGGAAGAAATCTGGTGTGAGAGACTACTCATAGAAATTGGAGGTGAAGTTAATGAGGAAGAAGTGGACATACCCAGCATTCTCTATAATTTTGATTAATGTGTTTGAGTGGATAGGAAATTGTAACGGATTGAGCTTTGTCCTGAAGGAGGCATTGCATCCACTTCTTAGAAAAGAGAAGAAATGCTAACAGCCGAAATAGGAGAATCTTGGAGACTAAATAATGTAAAAAGAAGAAGAGATGGTATGCTAATTCAACGAAAAATTAAAGAGAGTTTAAGGACAGCATACACCATTCCATTAACATTATAAAGATTTAATTTGGTTACATTAAAATCAAAATCATAAGAACTTAGTGTAATCAATGGCTAGACTCTATAGAAGACGACGATGACAACAACAACATTAAGCCTTTATCCCACTACGTGGGGTCTGCAACATGAATCCTTTTTCTCCATTGTGTCATGTTAAGTGTAAAATTCTCATTTAAATCGAATAAAGAAAGGTCATTTCTAATATTTTCAAACCAAGTCTTTTTAGGTCTACATCTACATTTCCTAACATAGGCCAATTCTATTACATCTACTCTCCTGACAGGATCATCGAAAAGCCGCCGTTTTACATGACCAAACCATCTAAAGCGACTCTCTCTAATCTTATCTGTCATTGGAGCCACTTCATTCTTTTCACGGATATGCTCATTTCGTATCTTGTCTCTAAGCGTATATCCACTCATCCACCTAAGCATCCTCATCTCAACGTCACTTAACTTAATATTATGCTTCTCTTTTAATGGTTAACATTCTGCGCCATAAAGCATTGCAGGTCTAACCACCATCTTATATAATTTCCCTTAAGTTTGAGTGGTACATTTCTATCACATAATAAACTTGAAGCATTCCTCCACTTCAACCATCCAACTTGAATTCTACTAATAATATCCACATCTATTTCACCATCACTCTGAACAATAGACCCAAGATACCTAAAATGAGTACATTTATTAATGACTTGATCGCTCACAGTCACAATCCCCCACTAGATCTATTACTACTAAATTACACTCAATGTATTCGGTTTTAGATCTACTCAAACGAAAACCTTTAGACTCTAAGGTTGACCTCCATAATTCGAGTTTACCTTCAACTCCCTCTCTAGTCTTATCAACAAGAAGAATATCATTAGCAAAAAGCATACACCAGGGTACATCCTCTTGCAAATGTCTAGTAAGTACATCCATGACTAAAGAAAAAAAAAGGGCTTAAGGCTGATCCTTGATGTAATTCAACTGAAATAGGAAAAGACTTTGTTAAACCTTGTGTTTGAACACAAGTAATAGTTCATAATGACTTGAATATAAGCATTAATAACCCATTTCTTTTCCAGAGCTCTCCATAGCACTTCTCTTGGAACTTTATCATATGCTTTCTCTAAATCAATAAATATCATATGTAGGTCCTCCTTAATCTCTCTAAACTTCTCCATCAACCTTCTCAATAAATTAATAACTTCCATAGTAGACCTACCCGGCATGAATCCAAATTGATTTTGAGAAACATTAGTATCACGTCTTAAGCTATGCTCCATAACTCTCTCCCAAAGTTTTAAAGTATAACACATCAACTTAATTCCTCTATAATTCGCACAATCTTTGTGCATCACTTTATTCTTAAAAATAGCAATCAACACACTCATTCTCCACTCATCAGTCATCTTTTTAGTTTTCAAAGTAATATTAAAAATTTTAGTAAACCAAAAAATTCCTTCATCTCCTAAGCATTTTCACACCTCTATTGGAATGTTATCAGGTCCAATAGTTTTCCCGCACTTCATTTTCTTTAAAGCCTCTCTAACTTCAGTTTTACTAATATGCCGATAAAAATAAAAATTTATATTTTCATTTAAAGTGCTAAGGTCACTATAGCCAATCATATTATATTATTATCATAAGCTTCATTGAAAAGCTTAGTAAAATATATCATCCACCTTTGTTGAATATCTTCTTATAAAATTTTTTTTTGAACTTCATCCTTAATGCACTTCACTTAAACTAAATCTTTACTCCCATCTCTTTGTTTGGCTAGCTTATATAACCTCTTTAGTTTTTAATTTATTATCTAAATCATTAAAAACTAAAATCTTTGCATCGCAGATTGCTTTCTTAAACATCTTACGATTCTCTTTATATCTTCAGAGTTTTTACATCTAACCCAATTATTATAACTAAACTTCTTATTTTTGATATTTTCTTGCACATTTTAATTTCACCATCAACTAATTTTATTATTATGAGCTTTTCCTTTTGAAAATCCAAGCACATCCTTTGCAACTTTCTTAATATTACTAAATATTTTTTCCACATAACATTCGCTTCCTCATACATAAAAAAATCTTAATATCTCGAATTTTATTTCTAAAAATATTTTTGTTAGTATTCTTTAAATATCCCCATCTAATCTTAGAACAACGTTTTATTATATTTTTTATATTCTGCCTCTTCATCTTAAAGTCTAAAATTAATAAGTGATGTTAGTATATAAACTTTCCCGTGGAATAACTTTATAAGCTTTGCAGTCTAAACGATTTATTTTTTTTATAACAAAATAATCAATATAAGTTTTACTATATTCATTCTTATAAGTGATGAGATGCTCATCTCTTTTTTTAAATAAGGTTTTAACAATTATAAAATCATAACTTAGAGCAAAATTTAATATAGACTTGCTACCTTCACTAGTCTCTCCAAAATCATAACCACCATGAATGCTTTTAAAACCCTCTATCTCTTCACCAACATGTCCATTTAAATCTCCTCTAGAGGTATCTTTTGAATTAATTCTTTTAAGTGATTCCAAAATTTTAATTTTAACATATATCCAAACCTAATTGAGGAGCATAAGCACTTATAATATCAATAATCTTAGCATCAACAATAATCTTCAAAACTAATTTTGTCACCAATTCTATCAATTTTTATAAAATTATATTTCTAACTATTATTTATAATCACACATACACCATTTCTAGTATGACTTCTACAAGAATACCAAAGTTTAGATCCTAAATTACAATCTCCTTAGCCTTCTCTCCAACCCATTTAGTTTCCTGGATGCATAAAATATTTATCTTCCTATGAATTATAATATTAATTAGTTCCATTAATTTGCCTATGAGAGAAGCTACATTTGAAGATTCTATTCGAAATATAGTTTCATGAACTAGCTTTACCCACGTCCATCTATGATGTGGGAACCCTTGCCTATTCAACACTGCACCCGAGTGTCGATGCATCGGCCCTTACACACTTCTCGTTGTATTCAGGCCATACAGCACGTTGCTTCCAGGAAACGCCCTAGTATTAACACAATGTATTAAAAAATTTATGTTATGATTATTCAACAAATTTTACGCTGGCTATCAACTACCTAACACAACCATCCATTTTTTTCATCAAGGACTTGGGACTAGACTCTATAGACGTTGTAAGAAAATTAAAATTGTCCAATTCTATTGAGAGGATTAGAGCCTATATCTCTATGTGAGTGTAAAAAAATATGGTAGGGCATTGTAATTAAATCTCCCATAGTAAAATAATTAATGTTATCGAGAATAAGAAGAATTCAACTCATCATCAAGTTGTTTGAGAATTCTTTTCCATTTATGCCTTCATACTTGAGAGGAAATGCACAATTTAAGAAAAAAATAGAGGATTTTCCTCTTTATGAAAATATTCTATGCCCTTCACTTTTGGGACTTTAGAAAGTCTTCTATTAACTTTCTTTTAGATTCCATCACTCGATAGAAGCAATTATTTTGATAGCACTCTATTGAGTAACATAACCATCTAAATTGTAATCATCCTAATTCAAACTAGAAAACATTTTGAAATTCATAGTTATCCTCATTGCATGCATGTTAATTACTATTTAGTATTTAGATATTTATCATAGAACCTAGAAGCAAAACATCTCAAATGGGAAAAATAAATGTAAAATGTTGATACAATCTTCATTTAGGGTGAGTTTGTTTTATTATAAGTATTTGTAATTGATTTAGAGTTTGTTTGGTTGGAAATACTTAGAATACATATAATTTTAAAATGTAAAGTAAGTGTAGTGTATTCTAAAAATTTTGAGTTATTTGGTTGTCAAAAAGAAAATATTGAAAAACTATTATTTGGTTTGGTTTGATGTAAAGTTTGGAGTGTGATCCTTCATTAAAATGCATTGGTGAGATCATCGCCTCAGTATCTTATAAAATTTTATAATTATAAATAAACAATTTTTTTTTCAAAATACAAAAAATGACAAGGATAACCTCTACATCATTGGGCATTTAACGTAGAACATCAATTAGATTATCTTGATCCTATCATCAGATCAAGATAAAAAACTTAAGATTAGATTGAGGGTTGTGATGTTCCCACTATAAGACCATAATCAAATGCTCAATGTAAAATTAGGTGTTAAGTTATCATCATTAAGAAAGCATGAATAGAGTGCCTAAATGGAAAATTTCCGTAAAATAAAGATTGTAAAAATTGGACCGAACAATGAACTCGAAGAAGTAGTGGTTCACAGTTCGATGGTTCAATTGGGTTCGATCGAGATTGAGCTGGATGACATAATAAATATTAAAATTATTCAAATATAATATAAATTACGTAATAATTAAAATTTAATAAAGAATATATAACTACTTTGATTGAAGCTCATGAACAAGCTCAATTAAGGCTTAACATAAAACTTATTAAGAAGTTTGATTAACCATTAATGTGAATACAAGTCTATTTATATTACAAATAAAATTATATGCATATTAAATAGGTTTTAAAATTTAAAAAGTTTAATAATATAAATAAAA